TTACTCTTCAGCCGAAGTAAGGGTATGGCTAAAGAGTGGTTGGTTGGAATAAACCAACTCTTATTACTCTTCAGCCGAAGTAAGGGTATGGCTAAAGAGTGGTTGGTTGGAATAAACCAACTCTTATTACTCTTCAGCCGAAGTAAGGGTATGGCTAAAGAGTGGTTGGTTGGAATAAACCAACTCTTATTACTCTTCAGCCGAAGTAAGGGTATGGCTAAAGAGTGGTTGGTTGGAATAAACCAACTCTTATTACTCTTCAGCCGAAGTAAGGGTATGGCTGAAATTGGATTGGCTGGATTAAACAAACTCTGAGTACTCCTCAGCCGAAGTAAATATATCGGCTAAAGAGTGGTTGGCTTGTAAGCATAGTTTAACCAGCTAAAACCGAAAAAACAGTTCGAGTAATAGAAGACATTACAAGTGCAAGCACACGAATCAAAACCGGAATAAGAGTTCAAGCAAAATTTTCATTCATTGAAAAGCCATTACAAAGAAGGGGCATAGTTCGGTTACAAAGGTAAAAAGCAACAGAAAAAGAAAAAGTACATAATCAAGAGAAAAGTTCTTCAATATCGGCATCAAAAGCAGCATCAGCATCAGCATGAAGACCGGCTTCAGAAGGGAGCTCACTCACGGTTGGAAGAGTGGTTTCGGCTGGAACCACGGTTTCACCTGGAAGATCAATAGTCAGGTCTTCCACCGTAGGCTCCAACCTAACTGTCTGGTCCACACTAGCAACCGGAGTATCCTCAGAAGAAGAGTCTTCATCAGAATCTGAGCCTTCAAGGAACTGCTGCTGCATGGCATTTGCATACTCCGCAAGGGAATTCGGTATGAAGTAGGCTGGAGGGTTGAAGATCTCGGTCTGTTGATCATGACCGAGCTTCTCAACAGCCGCCCTCCAGCCGCACTTAAAGAACAGCTCCTTGGCGGCGTCGCACTGTTTGACATAGTCGTCTTCTGCCTTCTTGTAACCCTGCTTTTCGGCTCTCTCCACGCTCTTTTTTAGTTGAGTTATTTCGGTGTCTTTTCGCTTCTCAAGCTTCACCAACTCCCGCAGATACTTGTCTTTCATAGCGATGGCGGCTTTCTGCTTTTCTGCTTCAGCCGAATTAACCAGATCGGCAAGTCGGCCGTTCTCTGCTTGCATCTCGGCCATTTTCTTTTCAGCTTCTTCTAGCTCGGCCGACTTCACTTCGGCCTCCGCCATTGCCTGCCTTGTGGTTTTTCTAAGCTCTTGGACTTTCTTGTAAGTAATGTTATTTTTCTGTAAGGCCTGATAAAACAAAGACATCTCCTGAGCCGAAGTACAAGTTGGAAAAATCAGACAGAGAAAGCGGACAGAGTTACTTACCAAAATCATGGATTTCGATGTAGAGCGGATGGACTTCATTTCGGTGTTTAGTTGCTTTAAGTGGTGCTCCATATCCTTAGGGAGGCACACACTTTTGGCCAGGTTAAAGGCCAGTAGATGATCTTTTTCAGCAACGACCGAATCAGAAGCTTTGATGTCTTGGTCATTGAAGGTTAGCTTCGGAGCCCATTTGGCAGATTCTGCTCGGTCAGTTTGCTCCGGTTGAAGAATAAGTTGAGGACTTTGGGGGACGGATTCAACCTCATCAACAAGTTGCTGTTCGGTCGATGTAGATCGGGCGCGTTTAGAAGGTCGAGATGAAGAAGGCTGCTGAGAAGGGAGGGCCACAACGGCAGGCTGCGTTTCTATGGATGGTTGCACTTCGGCCCTGGTTGTTGCGGTCAGAAGGGCCCTGACTCTGCTTTTCTTTGCCATCTCTTCTTCAGCTGTTAGTGGGACAAGTCGTATTTCGGGCAAGTTTGGGTCCGGTTCAGGTGCTTCCTCAAGAAGGAAATCGGTCACTCGGGCTTTTCGACGACCGCTATATCTGTAGGTCGGCTCAAAGTTTAGAAGCTTTGACCAACTTCTTTCTTTAATCCGTAGTGCGGCTCGGAGTATGTTCAGATTTGGATAACTATAATAGGAAGCAAGATGAGCTGAGTCTGCAAAAAAGATACAAACTGTTAAACCAGTTGTGAAATTTGAAACCGAAGTAATAGAACAAACATGCATAAAACCGAAGTAACTATACCAGGTTCTCCTTTGTTCCAGTTTATACTTCGGCCTGGGATTTGGGCTTGATGATCTTCAAAATTGCCCGATACCCAGAAAAAGTCATCGTCATTTACATCTTTATCCGGCGTATATTTTATTATCTTTTCTCTACGTCGACGTATCCTAAGGTAATAAACCCAGCCATCGTCTTTGGAACCTATGGAGTACTGATGGATGATTTCGGCTAAACCGAGGTTGAGGCCTGTCTGGCGGTTTAGCTCGGCTATACCCATTATTATCTGGTATGTATTGGTGGATAGCTGGGTTGGGCATAACCTGGTTTGCCTAAGAAATTCGCAAATTAAAGGCTGGACAGGGAACCTTAGTCCGGTCTCTATTATTGAAAGCAGGGTAAAAGGAACAAAGCCTGCTTCACCCCACGGTATGATGTCCTTCTTGGCTAGGGTAAGATGTACATCGTCTGGAATGCCATAATCCCTTCGGAATTCGGCCATGCCACCAGGGGTCTCTACTAGATACCTATACTTACCCATTTGTTGTATAATTTATGAATAAGTTATATCGGTGCAAAAATTGTGCTCAGTAGCTCGGTTGAGCGCACGCAGGAGTGCCTGGGTAACCTAAGTCTGCAAAGTAAAAAAAAAAACAAGGGGTTAAGCACAGATCGTTGGACCGTGCTACAAATTAAAAGCAAGGTAAATAAGCCCTATTTCGGCTTTGTGGGCAGGTTCTGTTTCGGTTCGGCACAATACTCGATAGTTCGGTTTGAACTTAGGGTACGTAAGATCGGTTTTCCTATTAGGCTTGTTATCTCAGTTTGAATAGTGGGTTTTTTACTTCGGTTAAGCCACTAGGGGCAGCTTTCTGAGTTTGGTTTAGAAACTAAGAAAGCTGGCTTAGCCCCAAGGCTTAGCTCTGTTGAAGACCGTGGTTCCTAGATTAATGTGTTCAAACTTCGCTCGGTGATTTTATTTCGGCTACAGTGAATCAGGAGTTGGTGATTGTTAAAACTTCTACAAGTTCTAGCTCGATTATTGTCTAAAGTGATCTACCAATATTGGACAAACAGTATTTTAGTTCGGTTGCTATGTGATTTTGGATCTAAGACTAGTTTTCTACAGAATAGTCCATACACACATGAGTTCTACTGGTTTTTTCATGAAAATACAGAAGCGAAGCAGAAATGGAAGAACGTGTTTTGCAAAAATATAGTAAACCAAATGTATAGAGCAGATACGAAAGCAAAAACAGTGAAGGAAAGTGGATTTGCTTACCAAGATTGAAGAAAAAGAGCACTGGAGAGGAGAAACAGCACCAGCAAAGAACACCAAGCTCAGGGATCTTAGGGGTTGGAGAAGCAGAGGCACAAAGAGAAGAAGATGAACAGAAAAGGTGAATGAACTCAGGAAATAGAGGGAATGTTTTGTGAAAAGGACGAGAGAAAAAGGGCGGGGCTATTCAAAAATTTCGTGGTACGAGGGCGGCGTGACAGCTGCCCCCAGCCTATCAGAGCCCGCCACGTGGCATTGGAAAGGGAAGCGTTACAATCGTGATTGAAGAGACGTTTTGACCGGATAAAACAGAGCTCGGAGTAAAATTAGTTCGGCTGGATACGCTAAAGGGTTTTTGGCTCGGCTGGAAAAGCTTGCGGAACTTCAGCTCGGTTGGAGGACTTGTAATTTCAATCATGCTGTGCAGATGAAATTAAGGGGCAATTGAGAGGGTAATTTTTGGGAAAAATTGGGCCGAGCTGTGAGTTGGGCTCTGTGGCCCAAAGTGTGAAGGACTCGGTAAAAGGTCGTAATGTTATTTCGGCCCAGTAGAGGTATAGTTACTCCGGCCCAGTAGAGGTATAATTATTTCAGTTCAAGAAGATGTATAGCTACTCCGGTCCGGTCGTGATGTCTCCTGAATAGGTCGGTCTGGCGGTACCTTTGAGTTAGACCAACCTAGGAGTCATACCGGTCGCAATTTGTTAAGTCTGGTCCAACCGTGCCATGGGTTGACAGGAGAGAGCCGTGGTAAGGAGGAGTAAAAGCAGAACCGAACTAAGGTATTTCGGCCTGCTTTGTGGCTCAGCATAGCCAACTTTACTTCGGTCAAAAATGATAGTTCGGCCATGTTGAAAACCATCCCACTTGGTTTAAGCAAGGGGGGTGTAAAAGGATAAGCATTATCTTTAGGAGTATGAATCCTAGGAGGACTCTGCATGGAGGAATACAAGTCCAACTAGGATTGTGCCACTCGAAACCTATAAAAGCTCACAAACATTACCTTGGAGGAGGTAACACACAATTTTTCTGAGAACATAGAACTTTGTCTATTTGTCAAGTTTTCTGACTTAGGCATCGGAGAGGTATCCGGCATACACCCGCCGGCTAGCTCACGTTTGTGTTTTCAGGTGAGAAAGCGACGTCGTACGGAGGAGCGTGGACTTGGTCAACAGGATTATACGAGAAGGCGTATTTCTTTCCCGTACAGCAAGTATAGCTGAATGCTCTTTACAAGCATCGGCTTGAACAAGGTCTGTGCAGAAGTAATTCTCTAGAAATAGAGATACACCCCTTGAATTCAACGGACGTGATTCCTTTCTTTTTGGGCAAGATCCTTGAGCCACACCATTATCTCCATCTGAAACCCATTACAAGATTGTTACTGAGCAAACAATACAAAAAACAATCTCATACAAGTAAACACAATTGGATGATATACTTACATTCATTTTCTAACATTTACCTCCACTGATAAGCAACTCCTTCTTCTGCTTCCTTCGAAGCGATAGAAGTGAAAATCAGTAACCGGTGGTTCTCCTGGACCATGGCGGTCACAGTGGGCCAATCCTCGCCCTTTTGGGGCATTTTAGACACTGGAAACCAATACTTGTCTAACCCCGCATTTGTGAACAAATTTATCAACCTTTTTGGGGTTTGCACATAGTCTTCAATTATAATTGTCAAAATCTCATTCCACTTCCCTCAAAGTGTTAATTGCAGGTTGCTGCAAACAATTTAATGGTTCCAAATTACTCAAAATTATGAATCTAACAGAGAATTATGGTTGAGAATGCTAAATTAGTGAAATGGGATAGTTGATTACAAAGGTGGTGAAGTTGAAACATTGTCCATTAAATTTTTATTTTTTTATTTTTTTTGGGGAAAAACAGATTCAACTTTGTTTGAATTGCACAATTTAATCCTGGATTTGGACAGTATGAAATTTTAAAATTTTTAACTTCTTTATCTAGATTTGCCAAAATTTCCAAGTAGTCCATCCAATTCTTTAGCAGTGTTAAATTAAATTTTCCTCTTTAAAAGAGAGGAACACAAGCAACTCTTGTTTGGGGGGTGCCCAGCCAAATCCAGATGGACAAATAACTATAACAAATACCTGAAATGAAGCATCATGAAAGAGAGATGGTTTTTTTCAAGTATAACTTTTCCATAGAAAATGGTCAACCATCAAATTCCAATATGAACTTAAAATTACCTGAAACCAAAAATTAAATGGACAGAAGCACGTAAATTTGAAACAGACTTCAGTGCGTGTGGATCCATAAACGAACTCATTTATCAGTCCATTGATGAAACAAAATGATAAAAATCTCTCTCTTTTATTTCATATGTATTAGTAAATTCCGTAGGGTAATCATTTCAGAAACACATAATATAGAAAAAGGATCAAAGCAATCCATGAAAATTTAACAAAGACTATCAAAATCCAATTACCCAAATCAGGCCGGTAAACATTTTGTTCATTGAGGCATATTGACAAACACTTGGTGTGCATCTATTGAACATATACCTAGGAATGAAAACAGTGTGGGTAAATATTATGCAACAGACATATAAATAATAGGCATCAAAATACAGATGTAGCGGAGCTTTGGACGATCAACTTCGACAGCCTTACGGCAGCAACAATGCGACAATGATGTGAAGAATAGTGTAATAGCAATCAGTATGTTTGGTTTGAGTTTTCTGAATTAACTTTTTTGAAAATTGATTTTTTTGGTTTTTGTATTTTTTTGTTTTTAGTGAATATTTTTAAAATTTTAAACATTTTTTTTACTTTTTTAGATGCACCTTATTTAGATGTATCTAAAAAGTAAAATATTTGTGAACAAATATTTTAAAAAATTAATAAATACATAAAAATATAAAAAATGTACTGAATTTTTGTATTTTTTTTTATATTTTTGGTATTTAGTGAATTTTTAAATGATTTTTTTTTATAATTTTTTTACTTTTTAAGTATATTTATGTTAAGTGTGTTTAAAAAATAAAAAAATTACTTAAAATATTAAAAAAAATTTAATAAAAATAAAAAAACACAAAAAATAAAAAAATAAAATTTTTTAAAATATATTTTTTGGAAAGTGGAAACAGCACGGTGAATGGTATCCGCAAGATACGTATATCTTGTGCGAAATTCAATGTTTGATACAGACACATGGCATGAAAACCAAAATGCAGCCAGCATCATTAGTGCGAGTTAGATCTGTGGGGCGGTGAGGTTTGCTTTTCCAAGTGGTGAGATTTGTTTTCTTCTTCATTGTCGGCGTGGGTGATTTGAATCCCACGTGGGTAACCCAAAAAATGCAAGAAAATTTTGTAGAGAGAAGCTTTGGAAACAGGAGCACCGGCGGGGGAAGTTTCTAGGAGGAATGGTGGTATTTGTTTTCTTCCTATATATTGTGTATATGGATGAGTTGATTTTTAACTTATTTCAGTTTTTATCTTAGTTTAAGGTTGCAAATTTATACCAAACCAAGCAGCAGGGTTACACCAAAACGTTATACCATTCTTACGTTCTTTTTATATAGGTAATAGATATATTAGAATTTCCCCTGATCCTAACATCCGGCATGTCAACATAATTGTTGCGGTTTATGGCTAAATAATTGCCACGTATATCATTAAATTATAAATTAATTAATACAACAGAAATATGATATTCATACATAATTTTTATACAAAATTTAAAACAAAAGTAATGTAACGATATTATTTTTACAATTATAACGATTGATTTGAGAATTAGTTATTTTAGTTAGTTTTATATTTTTATTTATAAAAAAACTGTATAAAAGTACAAAAAAAGATTTAATTTTTTAGCTATTTTCTCACTTCCCAAACAACTCTTAAATAAAAATAATAGCCATTTTAACTTCAAGAGCCCCTCGGTCCCATTATGGTAGCCTAAAGAGTGAGAAATACTCTCAACTCACCCTTCTCAATTTAAAAATTATCTAAAATTTTTATATTGTGGTTCAAATTTATTCTACATATGTGTCTCACACTACACAAATTAATCTCCACTACACAATTACTCATCTAGAATTTTCTGGGTGGGTTAATCTGGGTTCATTGCTTTTCTAATTTTAGATTGAGTTCTTAAATTGATTAAAAAAATTCAAGTTTAAAATTTATTTGAGAAATTTGTAAGTTCCATTATAGGTCACATTTTGATAATATAAATCCTTAATTTTGTAAGACTTTTTGTGTATATCAACTATGAAAAAATTAATTCGATTTTGATAATTTTAATTTTTTGATTATTGTATTTGCTTTTTTTTTTTATTTAAAAAAAGTCTATTTTAAAAATCATACTTATCGTCTATTATTTTCAAAAAGAAATGAGATAAAATCAAAATGCTATGATTATGGAATCAACCTAATTTTTTATGAATGATATATAGTGAGAACTTTACAAAATAAATAATTCGGATGGTTAAAAAGGTACTTGTGGTGTACCCCGTATGTATCTCAAATTCTCTCAAATTTAAATTTGAGAGAATTTGAGAAAAGCCTAACCCTTCTTTAAAACAAGTGGAAGAAAAAAAAAAAAAAAAAAAAATTATGGATAAATTAATAAGTCCCACAATTATTTATTTATTTATTAGTGGTCATAAAATGTTTACTTGTATATATAATCAACGAAATTATAAATTAAAATTTATTTACATAGATTAAGATAGGAAGTAGGGGTTGAACAAAAACATTCAAAAACAAATCATAAATCAAAGATTTAATTGTAATGAAAACAATAATAAATTAATTTAGGGCATAAGTGCAGCTGAATATATATATATATTGTTGAAAGTAATATTTTTCTGATTTTTAGGTGGCAAATTAAAAGAATTTTTTTTTTAAAGAGTTACGCCATCATATATATATATATATATTTTTTTTTTTAATTAGAGCATGTAATTTCTTAATTACATATAGAGTTTTACATAAATCCAAACCTAATTTAAGTAAATACAACTTTTCAAAACAAAAAGGATTAATTGATTCATAAAAAAAACTCTTAAAAATAAATAGATCAACATTCCCCAATTAAGATTTATAAATAAATTTTCTTAACAATAATAGTACAGAAGTTATTGAGGAAAATCCAAGTAATTTATTATAATGAACCCGTTATTCAATAATGATAATACAAACATCATATATTAGAAGAAGCTCGAAATAGTTATGTCGATCATTGATGACTCAAGAGTCGAGAATCCGATTTTGGCCAAATTTTCTCTCCCCACCCGCTCCCCCAAAAAACAAAACAAAAACAGAAAAGCAATCATGTGGTTGAGATTCATATTGTTTATGAAAACTACAAAATAAGAGAGTTGAATCGATACCACATATCACTATTCCATAATCATAATTAATTAGCACAAACACTGTGACGACGAGATTTAAGTTCATTGATCAAAGCAATAGCATCGGCGTTAGATGAGCCACCATGGTCTACAGCTTTCTTAGCCTTCTCGCTCACCTCCTTTGCTCGCCTTCTCATCTCCTCCACTTCATGACCACCATTACCAGCCATCAACCACTTCACCGCTGCCTCCACTTTCTCCCTAGTCACCGTCACCTTGGGTTCCCAAATATACGACAACCATTCCTCATTCCCCACTCGAATCCCGGTCTTCAACACATCCACAACGATGCTTTCATTGAAGAATTGCTCTGCCACCAATGGCCATGTGATCATCGGAACGCCCGCTCCTATACCCTCAATGGTCGAGTTCCATCCACAGTGTGTCAAGTAGCCTCCAATGTTGGCATGTTCTAAGATTAGCAACTGTGGTGCCCAACTCTTTACTATCAACCCTTGTCCGGACTTAGTCATCCTCTCTTCAAATCCCTCTGGAAGCTTTTTCCCTCGATTTTCGCCTCCTTCCTTCTTTTCTCTCTCTTCTTGGCCGTACTCTGACATATCTCTGGCCACCCAAATGAATGGACAACCAGAAGTCTCGAGCCCATGAGCAACCTCGAGGAACTGTTCAGGAGCCATACTAGCCTGACTCCCGAAACAAACATAAAGCACTGACTTGGGTTGTTTGGAGTCGAGCCATTTCAAAATTGTATTTCCATCAATGGAGTTCTTTGCACCCCTCTCGGCCTTTTCTTCGAATGCTTTGTTGAAGAGACACACCGGTCCTACGAGACATAACTTTCTGCCCATCTCATTCTTGAAATACTCAGCATAAGCTGGTTCCAACTCGTAAAAGCTGTTAACTATAACCCCATAGCTTTTTAGCTCAGACTTTAGAACCTCGTCAATTAATTGTCCATAACCAGTTCCTTTCTCCTTAAACCAGTATGGGATTTTATTCTTGGTAAATATGATGTTATCATCGGGGAGACCCGGCAAAGCAAATGTCTCTGTATCAGAATTTACCTTGTCATGTGGTGCATACCGTCGAATGCTCTCTTCACAACACAGAGAAAACAAACCTGCAAAATGAATCAGAATTTAATAATAGTTATAATATATACACACAAAAATTTATACAAAATTTGTATTCAGAATGATGTGATAGTTTAGGTTGTGTCAATTTAAATTTAAAATCAAAGAGAAAGAAAGGAACAAACCTGTAACATAGAGCAAGAAAATAAGAACCTGGAAATGCCGAGGCGAGCACCAAGGTCGGCAGTCCAGGGATGGAACATGTCGCTGACGATGCAATCAGGGCGGCGTTCTCGGAGGAGTTGTTCGATGGGTTCATGGAGCTTCTCGAAGGCCATGAAAAGTTTAGCGATAATGCCGGCAGAGGCAGCGAGGAGAGTCTCGCATCCATCGGGCAAGCCAAAGTCAGAGGTGGGTAATTTGAAGATGTGGAAGTTGATGTCATGGCCTAGTGACTGGTCTCTCTCTATAGTTTTCTGGAAGAGCTGGGCATATGCTGGTGTTATTATTATGGTGACTTTAGCTCCTTGAGCTGCAAATAGTCTTGCTGTATCTATTGCAGGTAGAATGTGACCTCTCCCCATTACACTTGGAATGAAGAACATTTCTACTTTTGAATCCATTGTGAGAGAGAGAGAGAGAGAGGCTGAAACTTGATTGCTCTGCTTTGATGTGAATTGTGTCACGGGACTTATAAGTGGTGCATCATGAGAGAGAGTAGCTAACATTAATCAGTAATCATGTAAAAGTGAACATAAGCTATAATTAAATTTTGTTGTCTTGTTTGAGGTCTAATGTTAAAATATTGGTTTAGTGGATGTAATGATTCTGAATTTTTTTGAGTAAAATATTTGTTAGTTGAAGGAGATGATTAGAGACTTGGCGGATCCACGCGGAACGCGGGAAACATGCGGAATGCGTAGTCGATTAATGAGTTGGACAAGAGTTAATTGAGACTTTTTTGTTTTTACTGATAGAATGGAAATGATTGAAAGTGAAATCTATGTGGAACGCGTGAAACATGCGGAATGCGTGGTCGGTTAATGAGTCAAGCGAGAGTTAATTAAGGCCCGTTTGTTTTTAGAAATAGAATGGAGGGGATTAATAGTGAGAGAATTGATAATGAGGGAATTAAGTAAAATTGTATTTGTTTTGATGTAAGTTATTAGTGTAGGAATTGTCAAATTATTTTTATATAAAATAAATATAAAATAATAAAAAAAATTAAACAATAATGTTTTAAAAAAAATACTCAACATGTAAAAAGTTTTAAAAAAATAAAAATAAAATAAAAAATTTCCAAAAAAAATAAAACAAATAAAATAATAATTTTTACTTAACAAAAAATTAAACATTAATGTTAAAAAAAATGCCCAACATGTAAAAAAAAATAAAAAATAAGTAAAAATAAAAAATTTCTAGTTCGCCGGACTATTTTTCTAATACCAAGTCCTGGAGGCCTATCTGAATCCCCTTGAAGAGGTCCATCCTAATTTGGAGCTCACTATCAATCCCCTCCCTTTCTCTTAAAACAAACACAATATTTGTGGGTCCCACCTCACTACCAATCTCAATCCCCCTCTAACTCTCTGAAAAATGCTTGGGAGCACTAATTAGTGCTCTCACTAATTAGGTGGCAGTGGGTCCCGCCATTAATGATGTGATGTTTTGGTCTTGGAATTGTATTTTTTTTTGTTTTTTTACTTTTTTAATGCATTAGTGCTATTAGTGGTGATGTTTTTAGTGGGATGAATAGAGCATTAATCAGCTCTAATGAGTTAGAAATTCAATTAAAAAAAATTATTTTAGAATTTTAATTCTTAAATTTTAAAGTCAATTCTAATAAATTGATAGTAGACCTCACTCACTATCACTATGATATTTTGGTCTTGATTTATTTTATTTTTTTTAATTCTCATATCATTAGTGTTTTATTAAAATATTAAAATAAATATTTTGAATCATTATTAATTATTAAAATGTAATGAAAATAAATCTCTCAACGTGCAATACTGTCAGACCCGGGCGCGTTTAAATAACATTTTATCAATCCCTGTTTTTAATGCGAATTTATTCTCTTTATTGGGATGCTTCAGAAATTTAAAGAGCACTGTTACAACTTGCAAGATATTTTTGTTGTGTCTGCCTATGAATTAAATACAATTTAACGCCGTTAACTCTTTCCGTCTATGTTTTCTAGGCACTCACCCAAGTCACGTATTGGTTATAGGGGTGAGTATAGGTTAGATTGGTTTGGATTGGGATAAAATTAGAATTAATCCATTATTTATTTTTTTTTAAAAATTAAAATCAATCTAATCGGTTTAAATTATGGAATCAATCCGAATCAATTCATTTAAATGCGGATTGGATCGATTTAGAACCACGGATTCATATAATTAAATAATAAAAAAATATAAAATATTTTAATTTCATAAAAATATAAATACAGTATCATATTAGTTCCACAATAGTAATATGTATTTCCATAATAGTGATATACTATTTTAGAATTTAAACAACCATAAGAAAACTGGTTCTACCATAAATATTTCGACCATTACAAATTAAAATTAAAAACCAACAAACAAAAGCAATAAAAGAAGATACTATGCTGGAGATTATATAATGTAAATATAAGCTATTTGTATACGGTCCGGATCGGTTCCAATCCAGAACCGTGGGGTGCAATCCGAAACTGATTCGTGGACTACGAATTTTTAATTTTTCAATCCAGAACCGAACCACAGATTCAAAAAAACAATCCAAACGTACAAGATTTGACTAGACTGGATCGGATTACCAATTTTACGAATTGTTTGCTTAGTCCTAATTGTTTATGATTTAGGAGTTGTTTGGAAATGGACTATTTTAATATTTTTTATTTTTTATAACAAAATATGTAATGTGATAAATAAGTTGTGATTTAAAGGCGTGTGTTTAGTTTTAATTTTTTAAATTCAATTTTTTAAAAATTGAATTTTTTATTTTTTGATTTTTTTTTGTTTTTAGTTAATATTTTTAAAATTTTAAACAATTTTTAAAAAATTTTATATTTACCTTACTTAGATATATCTAAATAGAAAAATATTTATGAAAAAATATTGTTAAAAATTAATAAATAATTTAAAAATTCAGTGAATTTCTATATTTTTTTGTATTTTTGGTATTTCATAATTTTTTTAAAGATTTTTTTTCACAAATATTATAATTTTTAAATATATTTATGTATGGTGTGTGTAAAAATTAAAAACAAATTACCTAAAATAGTAAAAAAAAATCAGTAAAAATATAAAAATATAAAAAACAAAAAAACAAAATTTTTTAAGGAGTGAATTCTAGAAATGAAATAAAAGAGAGGGAATGCAATCCAAATAGAATGAAAAGACAACAAATATACGTTTTTGGAAGGTACCGAAACAACCCCTTACATGCGGCATCAACTCTGGCTTGCCTTTTTTTTAATCTTTTATTATTATTATTTTATTTTTCAAATGTTAATCAGGGTCTTATAAATATTATTTAATGTTAAAAGGTGTGTAAAAGTCTTTTAAAAATATATAAAATGTTAAAAATATATTAATTTTAATAAATATCTCAATTAGAGAGAATTTGAGAGGCTCGTGAGATATACCATGAATCTATCATAAGTCTTATTTCAATGATTTAAACCGTTCATTTTTGTAAGATTTTCAATATATATTATTCATAAAAATAAAAAATAAAAATTGATCGATCTAATAATCATAATCTTTTTATCGCGTTTATCTCCAAAACATAGACAACTATATTTTTAAAAATAGAACATTCGTTGTTTAAAAAGAAATACAATAAAATAAATAGTTATAATTATCAAATCGACTCAATTTTTTTCGTAGATAATATACGTAAGGCCATACAAAATGAACAGTTCGAACCATTAAAACAGGACTCGTAATGAGTCTAGCAGGCCTCTCAAACCCTCTCAAGTTTATATATGAACTTGAGAGAAATTCAAACTCTTTAATATATCATCATCTGTAATAAAAAATAGAAAATCATAGATATTTAAGATTTAAAATATCAAAAAATAGAGGGTCTAATCAAAAGTGAGATGTAACTCACCCAGATTTCTGAAGATTTGATGGGGTGTAATAAAATTGAACCCTTTTGTAGTTTAACACTTGGTTGAGGCGATTTCCGAAGACACCTCTAGCGATCACAGCAGGTGAAAATCAGGTTCCCTTTTTTGTTTTTCTTTTTTTATTTTTTATTTTTTATTTTTTTCCCGGATCCCATCTTCTAAGGGGGAGGGGAAGTCATTGTGGGATGTTTTGTGTATCGGTTGTGCTTTGAACTATATTCGGCTCTTTTTCCGACGTTGACCTGATCTTTCCCGCCCATATCCTTCGATCTAGAACCTTGAGGTGTAGATTTGGGCTACACCTAACATATTTCTTTCTTCTTTTAGACAAAGTGAACAGTTTGAACCATTAAAACAGGACTCGTAATGAGTCTAATAGGCCTCTCAAACCCTCTCAAGTTTATATATGAACTTGAGAGAAATTCAAACTCTTTAATATATCATCCTCTGTAATAAAAAATAGAAAATCATAAATATTTAAGATTTAAAATATCAAAAAACAGAGGGTCTAATCAAAAGTGAGATGTAACTCACCCAGATTTCTAAAGATTTGATGGGGTGTAATAAAATTCAACCCTTTTGTAGTTTAACACTTGGTTGAGGCGATTTTTGAAGACACCTCTAGCGATCACTACAGGTGAAAATTAGGTTCCCTTTTTCTCACACGTTTTTTTTTTTTTTTTTTTTTTTTTTTTTAAAAAACAAAAAAAAATTTCCGGATCCCATCTTCTAAGGGGGAGGGGAAATCATTGTGGGATGTTTTGTGTATCGGTTGTGCTTTGAGATATATTCGGCTCTTTTTCCTGCGTTGACCCGATCTTTCCCTCCCATATCCTTCGATCTAGAACCTTGGGGTGTAGATTTGGGCTTCACCTAACATATTCTTTCTTCTTTTAGTTAAAATTTTGTTATGATCCATTTACATCCAATTTTTGGCTTGCACTAATAGGGAGAATTTTGGTTTGTATTTCGGGTTCAGTGCTTGTGATTTTTGTACCTCTGTTTACTTTTGCTTTGGTATGAGTGATCTTTGATCTGTGTTGTTGGTCTTCGGGGTCTTCTTTCAGTGGTTTTGTGTGGGATCTACCCCCTGTTTGGTTTTAGGCTTGTGTTCTTGTTGGTGTTGTGTGTTGTGGGTAGATTGATTCAATTTTAAAAAAGAGCTTCATTCTCAACTTTGGATCGGCTACTAAGCGGCTATCAAAAGTCAAAAAATGTAATGGTATTGAATTGGATAGCAACCTCAATCACAATAATAGGAAATGTTCGTCACCACAAGATATGTTTTCCTCTATGGACCCTTTTGAAATAGCTTTTGTCATAATCCAAACCCGCCCCTATAGTTTTAGCATCGTAATCGGCCAGGAATCCTAAGATTAACAAAGGCCTCTGAGCAGATTAAACAAAATTAAGGGGCTAGCAGAAGCAAATACATAAATATAATTGTCCAATGAGTTGTGC